TGACACATCTGAAAGGTCATAGCCTTATTTTATCGCGGAAAGTGCCTTTAATATACGGTCGTTTGCATTGCAGAACCTGGAACATGTTAGGGGAGGGAGCTGGATTAGGCACTGGCCCGCTCTCCACCAATTGTCTAGGAGGACAGGCGGCTTGATTGGTGGAAAACAGGCTGGTCTCAGACCAATTAGATGAACCAGTATACTATCGGCTCATATAGGAACTAAGAAAGTAATCTGCATAGGCTCATATACGACCTAAGAAAAACTTAAAGGCAAATTTCACAGTCATAGTGTGGGCGGAATCGGGCGTATGATTGTCGCTCGTCCCTCCTTCTACTGTCTTACCACTGGAGGTGTGGCACGCCAATGTAAAACGAGCAATTCTACGCCGGGTCCCCGCTCCAACTATCTGCATGAAATGTGCCTTCAAAGAGTGGCAAAATAGTATTGAAGCAAAGTGTTGATAATAGGGAACATCCTCACGTTATACATGACGATCCCTGGTGTCGAATTTGGTTCAAGCAAGACGACGAGTATAAATGCCCGAAAGCTGTGACTAGGGTGAGAATTCGCCATCATCTGCATCTAAATTTTTATCCATCATCATAATGCGTTGCAGATCGCCCTCATTTCTCCAATGATGAATAGTTCTCCAAAATCATCAGTGCTCTCGCAAATATACACTTCGTGTTTGCACGTGAGTTCCTCCATGATTTTTCTACTAGTTTGGCTGGAGCACAAACCGCGCTCCTGACTCGATGAGGCAATGCAAAATGATTCACCGCAGTATACCACGATTGATGCCGAATTCGTTTCCTTTATCATATCATTTTCGTTGGCTCTTTTTTGATTCTGCTGCACACTGCTCGGAATGCTGTGAAAGTTTTTTAATCCGTCGATATTAATCCTAATATTTTTGTTTCCTTTTTGTTTTCTCTGTTTTTTTTTGTACTACCTTCTTGTGCGATTTTACATCTTACTCTAACTAAGTTGTACCATAGGTAGGGAGGTCTCTAGTCGGTATGGCTGCCATTTGATCTCAAGAGCCTACACCTGGGGAGCTGTTAGTCCTAGAGGTTAGTATGTGGACAAGCTAGTGTTGGCGGGTCCGAGACTGGATTGTTAGGGATAGGGAATACCTAACATCCGAAAATCCAGTTTCCGATTCCATGCTTGGTTGTCGTCTAGGAGTGACGTTTTCCCTAGCGTCATCCGCCACTGAAGTTAATATCATCGAATTAATGAGGAGTGACACAGCTCAAAAGACCCCTTGAACCGGTAAAGATCTAGCTTTTTCATCAATTTTCAGTCTCCTGGTAGAGATCTGTCCTTGAGACTCTCCTCAATCTAATCGTAAGTGATGTATTCACCTCAATGTTGACTGTTAGGGTAGAGGACCTGAAGATTTCGATGCCATACGCAAGTGTTGTAAAAGCGCACCTATGAGTGCATGTAATAAATAAATAAAAAGTGAATAAAAGAAATAAATTCACTACACTCAAGCCTGCAATACCCAGAAACTACAGTCATTATCCAGGCAGTTAACTAGGCGGCTTAAGGGTTGCAGACAGGAGTGCAGCAACGACCACGTGCAACGTTGGCGGCGATCAGCTCTCTCCGGCGTGAATAAGTAATTTTCTATTTATTTTTTCACTTTTTTGGTTGCTTTCTCTGAGCAAGTTATGATAAAGATTCCACTAATTTTTGCGTTGAAGTGTTTCCTTGAGAGTTTTTCGAGGCGTTGTTTGAATTGTTTGATACAAGTACAGCCGTATTAGTTAGAATCGGTTTTTCTTTTACCCTTCATTTGACTGGCTTCTCCATACTGTATGCACTGGATGTGTTGCACCTGCTCCATCGTATACACACACAACGGCAAACGCGCGAGACACGCCACACATACTGACAGCTTACACGCACTGCACGCACACACACTCCGCACACCGCACACTTACGCACACACTCACCGCATACCACACACACACACGCACACACAACACTACGCACACACACACTTCAGCACAGCACAACACACAGTACACACCCACACACCGCACACACATACCGCACACAATCGCACACACACACACACACCGCACCACGCACAGCTTATCACACCTACACACGCACAACACACACGACGCACCCATACACCGCCCACACACTCACCGCATACCACACACACACACACACGCACACACTAACACATACGCACACACACCCGCACACAACACACCGCACACACACGCGCACACCACTCACACACGCACACACCGCACACCGCACACTTTACACACGCACACGACATCGCACACACACAGCACACTACACCCACAACCCGCCACACACACTCACTGCACACACACGCACACACTCGCACACACGACAGACACAACCATACACCGCCCCACACTCACCGATACCAACACAACACATACGCACACGCACACACTCGCACACACACACGCACACACTCGCACACACACACACCGCACACCGCACACGCACACACGCACACACACGCACACGCACACACCGCCACACACACGCACACACTCACACACACTCACCCCGCACACACACGCACACAATCGCACACTTACACGCACACACACGCACACACACGCACACACTCGCACACCCATACACCCACACACCTCACCGCCACCACAATCGCACGACACAACACCGCAACACCGCACACTTACACACTTAACCGGCACACACACACAGCGCAACCCATACACCGCCCCATCCACTCACACGCATACAACACCAACACACGCACGACAGCTAACTCATCACGCACACACACCCAGCCAAGCCAACACACCGCAACACAGCACGACACACTCACACACGCACACGACTCCACACACGCACACCTTACACACGGCACGACGCACGCACACCACACAGCACACACTCCACCACAACGCACACACACTCACCGCATCACACACGGCACACGCGCACACGCACTCACGCACACATCGCACACACACGACGCGCGACACCATACACCGCCAACACACTCACCGCATACCACAACACACACGCACACTAACACATACGCACACGGCCACGCAACATACACGCAGCACACTCGCAACACACCACCGCCACGCACACACCACACGCACACGACACACGCCCACACCGACAACACAGCCACACGCCACACAGCACACACTCACACAGCGACTCCGCACTCACACCACACACTTCGCACAGCTTACAACGCACACACACGCACCACACCAGCACACACCCATACACGCGCACACACTCCGCACACATGGTCGCGCACACAGCGCATCCACAAGCACACACACCACACACACGCACACACACACACACACGCACAAACACTGCACATTCCCACACACCGCACACTCCCACACACACTTAGCGAATTATGCTTTACCCTTTTAGGATGCCTTGACGGAAGTTACTTTCAGTGCGTGGCAGGCTGGCGTCAACTGCGCCATAAGGGCAAAAGAATTCGGGCTGCTGCTGGAAGTGAGTAGTTTGAACTTAAAACGTTGCCTCCTAGTTTGAACAGACGGACTGATATCGTGAACAATGAATACAGGGGTTACACTATAGTGTTCTTGTCACTCACTCACTTTTTCTATTAGAATATGGGGGACGCCCTCTTCCAGAAAGGCGAGCACCTGCTTTTTGTTAGTATTACGTACTACTCTGGCCCGCGATGAGAGCTGCCAAGGCCAAAATGAAGGAACTGTGTTACAAGACCACGTCCTGTTACTGATTAATCTTCCTAGCTTTAGTGCGCGAGGTCATAGTCTGAAGTCTAGTTGTGTTCTCGATGCCTATTCGAACTCAATAGCAGGGAGCTGTGGCTTGTGAAGCTACTGCATGAGGAAGCCTCTACCACGGGTTTCACACAAAACAGCCTCAAGGTCTGATCGAATCGCTGATCAGGGGAAAAGTTTGTCCGTACACCCTGCCTTCGACGTGATTGGCCAGGACGCACCATTGAAAAAAAAGTCAAGCTGAAACGCATGTAGAGCAGTTGCATGTTTCTTCTTCGGTACACTATAGCCTAACCTTTGCTCCTTCCAGCTGCTAGTTGTTTTCCAATGAAGCGTGTTAAATGAACGAGAGCTTGCGTCAAGTCAAATCGAGATGACGTCCATTGCACCAGCTAGAATTGTTAGGCGACGAAATCCACATGGACCTAAGCACTGCCGAAGGCCTCTTATTGGACTTCTATACAAAAGGAAAGCTTGATTATAGATACGACATACTTTTTCCTCACCTCAAACAGTCTTGTTCGCTGCGGATGCTGTGGCATGTTAGTGAGACGGATTTGGCGTGGTGCCAGACACCATTGTAGTCGCTGACCCGCTTTTGCAATTGGTGAAGAACTGACTGGTACCCCACATACTCAGCTCTCTCCCCCCCCCCTCTCAGATATCAACGATGCCATCCCGAGCAATAACGATTGGTGGATAAGGACATCCCGGCTGCGCTCTCATCTAAGATCCTTCACGCACCTTCTCAGGGAAAATGGCTGTAAATACATCATTCAGGTGAGTGGTTACGACGAAAAACAAGCGCAACTGGTTGAACATGTTATCAAGCGAATGACTGACTTCAAACCGGGTAAGACACTTCGAAACTTGTGATTAACAATTTTTGATTATCTTGGCGAGCGCACTAAAAATGTTTTAGAACGTACAACTCATCAGCCAGAAAGTCGAACAATGAGCAGTTGATGGAACTGAGACCTTTATTTACAGATCCTCTCCGCTTTGACAACCTACTGGACAACGAGAAGCGAAAGTTTAAGAATTTTTTGCTTTCGGAACCCGAAGTGCTGTTACCAATTTATGCCGAGCTGTTACTCCAAGACTTTAAGTGGACCGTTGAACAGCTGCTTGCCGTTTGCAAAAGAAAGCGTTTTTTTTTCGTAGATCCTTGCACGAAGTCCTATGATATGGTCAAAATGATTTTAGATCTCAATGTACAAGAAGTGGAAGCATTCGGAAAAGAGATGTTTCGCGCTTTCTCTATTGAATTTTTTATTCATGGCAACACAACAGAACAGGTGTGTTTTTTTCCGTTGTGCCGTACTTTACAGTGAGTTATAGTTATTAATTTTGGACCTATTTATTTAATTGATTTACATACTTTTGCGTGAGTAAATGTAGCAGATGTCGTCGCAGTCAGCCTGGGTGATGCCAGGAAGGGCGGAGTGAGCTCACATCCGGTTCCTACCCAATTAGTGATCGAATCAGTAAGAAAACAACCAGCGATGGAAACTGCGCGAGTGGGCACATCCCACTAAACTGCACGAGTGGGCACATCCCACTATGTTATGTATTATAAATACCCAGTTACGCCAGTCACGCTATGCACTTGCGTACTCGACTGCTGCTACCGTAGTCCACGTCTAATGCATATTCACACTGTGGCTACTGCGCCAACTATAATGAAGTAAAGGCAAAGAAAATGGCTGTGATTGTGCCGAAGGGGATAAGTGGAAATTCAATTTTGTATCATAAACTTATTTTTGATTGGTTTAATCATTGGTGCTTGTAGTTCACACCCTTTGCCAGTAGAGGATGCACTCCACAAGTCAAACCGAGACTCATGAGTGTTATAATGTGCTCAAATGAGGTACAGTCGAGTTCTCTTCGGACGGTGGGGCGGTCCTTCGTCCACGTGTCCGACGCCGCGATCGATAATGGCTGATACGCCAATTAACCTGATTGCTACCGTTTTCAGCTTCGAAAAGCTAAAATTATTCTTCGTTCAGCTTCAATAAGCAAGGGTGAGTATGTTTCGAGGAAGCTAGATTTCATTTTGCATGAATTTAGTAAGTAGCATCGAAGTTAAACGAAGACATTCACGAAAAGTAAAAAAAATTGCGAAAAGAAAGAAGAAACAAGTTCTTTAAGAGAGTTTCATGCTGAATTCATACAGAATGTAATCTTATTCCAGTAAACATACTCACCTCTAAAATTGAAACCGAAACTAGAACAATTTCAGCTTTTACAAGCTGAATATTGCAGAAAAACAACAAAAATTATGGCAGAAATCAGCTGATTGGTAGCGTCAGCAACCATCGATCGGCGGGAGTTCAGATGGAAGAGTGAGAAGAGGGCGCGGCGGGGCTTAGGACAACTAATCCGTTTTTTTCTCTGCGTCTCGTTCTCGAGGCCAGACGCAGACGGGAGAGCACGCTGCGGTCAGGCACGCAGAGTGACTCACCAACTTGAAGAACGGTCAGCCTGCTTTCAACGTGAGCAGGGTGATATTGAGAATATTGGTGGAGGCTAAGCTATTCAGTAGTAAACGAAGATAACCTTAGACATTAGCACGCTTCTGCACTAAGGGCAGTGTAATACTTGACCAAAATGAAGTGATTGAAGTCATCATGGGTATCGAAACACTTCACCTGG